CTTCCGTGTCTAAAAGACTACTATATGGCGGCTCAGCTAAGGCCATTGATCTGTTTGTGCAACCCAAAATATCATGCCAGGTGGAAGGACATTGAAAGTGCATTATCGACAGACTTTAGAATACAATCTGCAATTGGAGACAAAGGCCTAATGAATAGGGTGAAGGTGTTAGGCAACCCCTGGATTTGCTTGTCACTCAAGATGTGGTACAAAGTGGTAGCTCAAAATCATTTGAAAGAGGAGGTGAAGATTTTGAGATGGGTTGTATCTGACCCCGATTTTTTACCTGGAAAGTGGGACGCAAGATTTGAAAGATGGGGATCACAAGGTTTGACGGCATACTGCACATTTTTACATAAAGGGACAATGAATAGTTTCCAAAATCTGAAGAAGCAGTTTGGTTTGGAAAAGGACGATTTTTACAGATATCTTCAGCTCAGGCATTATATTAACCAAATACAGAGGGGATGTGCACAATCAGGCTGGGATAATATTTTGTTAAAAGTGTTTAGGGATGCTTATGGTAACGGCCCTAACCAGAAACTCATCTCAAAAATTTACAAGGGGTTACAACAAATAAAGCAAAGTTCACTACACATAAAACGAAAATGGGAGCGGGAAGGTAATATGGTCTTAAAGGAAGAAGTTTGGGAAAATCTCTGTGAGATACAATGGAAAACTTCAAGCTCACGTGGCTGGCGAGAGTTCTGCTGGAAAACGCTAATAAGATACTTCGTCACCCCAGCTCAAAAGAAGCACTACACTAACTCTTCTGCATGCTGGCGGCAATGTGGGTGCCTGGAAGCAGACCATTTCCATATATTTTGGTGCTGTACATCATTGGTGCCGTTCTGGCAGGAGGTTCACAAGGTTCTACAGAGTGTTTTTCAGATGGATATCCAATTTAAATTTGAGTCGTTATACTTAGGGGCCATTACATCAGAAAACGTTTCTAATAATGTTAAATATTTATTTCAGATCCTAAGCGCTGCCTGCAGAAAAGCTATTACAAGAAAGTGGTTAAAACCTGAAAAACCTACTGTTGATGAATGGATCGACATAATCTATGACATGTTTAAAATGGAGAGGATTACCTTTGCTTTGAGAATGAAACAAGAAACTTTTTTGAATATATGGGAAAGATGGATGAAGTATATCACGCCGGTACGACCATCATTTGTTTAGAGTGGACTTTTGTGACCCCCCCCCCTGCTCTGGGTTAACTAGGTCACTATTGGATTTCCTGTAATAGAAAGCGAAACGAGTTAGAGAAGTTTACCCTACATTTTTTTTTTTTTTTTTTTTTTTTC